GGGGGCACCGAAGGTGACTTTCACCCCGACACGCCCCAGACACGCCCCCGGCCCAGGTGCGAAGCGGAGGGTTGGAGGGGTTTGCAGACTTTGCACCCGAGAGGCCGGGTCTTTACCGCCCCCCCCCCCATGTCAAGGGGTAGGATGTGGGGCTGAAGGCCCCTGGACAGTCCACCCGAAGAGGGGCACAGGTGGAGCCGGTGAGGCTCGGGGGTTCACGAGGCAGGATTCCCTGGGCGCCGCAGGCCCCTTCTATACTCTAGGTCCGTGTGGGGTCAGGGGACGGAGCAGGGCAGAGCCGAGGTGAGGGCGGGCGGGGCCTCGGGCGGCTGCCGCCGCGCGGCGCTGACGGCGATGGATGGGCGCCCCGCGGCTCATTCGGTCCGGAGATGAGAATCATTGATCACGGACGGAAACCCCATCACGTCTGTCAATAGGGCTGACAAACGGATCCCGCCGCCCCCCACCCCCGCCCACAGCACCTCTGCTGTCTCAGGACCCTCCCTAGACCCATTGTCCACCTTTATCCTCCCTCCCACAGCTCATCCCTCGCATCCCAGAGCGCCCCTGGACTGGCGCGAGGGTGGGGGCCGGCTGGGCAGCAAGTCCGCCTGCCCTGCCTCTTGGTGCAGTCTCTGTCCCTTCCTTCCCACTATCCCATCTTTCACCATCAGCTCCTCTCTCCCCTCCCCTCCCCTTCACTGTCTCTGTCCTTGTCTCTGTCCCCATCTTCTACCCCATTTGTTCCTCGAACCTACCCACCCCCCCCACCTCCAGTCTCTCTCCCTGGTCGAGTAGTCTTCTGCAGTCAGCTGTTGATTCGAGCTAAGGCTATGGTTGAGGTGGTGATATGACCAACACAGAGGCATCGAGAGAGGGGGACAAGCAAAGAGATGGAGGGGCAGGCACACAAACACACCAGGCAGTTAAGGGATATGTCACACCACAGGAGTGAGCACACACATGCACAGTCACATGCAGGCATACGCGCTGATGGTCACCCTTGGTTTATGCGCACACACAGGAGCACACACAAATATATACTTGAACCAAGAGTGACTCACTCTAGCCAGGTGCTCAGAGAGCCCCTCCCCCTAGTCAGAGATGGACACACAGTACTCTGGGACTGACAGTGCAAAAGACATGCTAAGCCAGACATACACAGAAACACCATACAAAGAAACAGACAGACAGATATTGGTATGTGTAATAAACACAGAAAAGGGGTCAGGGAAAGGACAGAGACACTGAAATGAGGCAGACACTGAGACAGGAGTCAAGAACCTGGGTACAGGCAGGGAAGAGGTCCCACCTAGAATCTTGAGCCCAGAGTTCAAGCCCAAGGACTGTTAGATACCGGGGTTTGGGGTAGGGGCAATGGGCACTCCAAGCTCAGGTTGCCCAGGAAAGAAGCCCCTCTCATCTTTTGTAGTACAAAACCACCCTATTTTCTCCTCTTTTTGCTACAATTTCGAGTTACCCCCTTTTCTCTTTAGCAGTATGTATGCATACTCAGTCTCTCTCCCTCCCTCCCTCTTTGACCTCTGTAATAGCTCCATTTCTGTTTTAGCCTCTGTCCCTGACTCTTGCCCTGTTACTCCTCCATCTCTGTCCTAAGCTCCCTGCTCCTTGCTTGTGGGGAGGGTTCAAGTACTGCACCTGGGTGACCCAGTCCCAATAGGTCCCAGCAGGCAAAGGGAGCATGCTGACAGGAGAGGTGTGAGCCAAGCCACAGCTGAGGGCCCCTCCCACTCAGTCCAGGATCTAGAGGATAGAGAGGCAGAGAATCAGTAGCTTCAGGGAGCAGGGGTGCCAGATGCGTTTCTGGCAGAGGGAGGGGGAGAGTGGGTGGGGCTGGTGGTGGTGGAGAGCAGGGAGGCGCTGGGAGAAAGAAGGGAGCTGGTGAAGAGGGTGTGACAAAATAGCCCAAAGAAAAGAAGGGAGGGTCTGGGTTGAGGTCCACCTGCAGGCGCTTAATTAGTGTATGTTGGGGTGGGGGCCCTCCCTGGGCTTCTGAATGCTCAGTGATACAGAGGTGCGGATGCCCCCTGGTGGTCAGCGCGGGTCATTACCTTCTTTCTCAGCCATCAAGAATTCACCTATTCTCAGTTTAAAATTAATATATTTTAGGGCATTATGATTATCATTAAGAGTCCGGAATGAGGGTTGCAGAGTGGAGTATACTTGGGGTGGGAGTGGGGATGTGCGGGATGGGGTGGTATTGTGTACCAATGAAGTAGTTTTTCTTCCGCTTTTCAAGGAGAGGAGCGAAATGGGGGTGGGGGTGAATGGGTGGGGAGAAAAGTGCAACAATGAATGAATGGAATTTCTAATTCTCTGTAGATGTTCATTGAAATTAATAATAACAATTTAAAAAAAACGAAAAAAGAATTCACCTATTCTCAGTAGGATTTCTGTGGAGAGCCACGAGAGGGTCTCAGAGCTGGCTTGGAGGTTAAGGCTGGAGATAGGTGTCAGATCTAAGAGTGAATGGGAAGACTCTTGTTCCTGGAGGTATCTGAATGCATTTCTTCATCAAGGAAGGAGGACACCAGGGAAGAACGGGCTAGAAGTCAAGCCAGAGAGGAAGGGGGGATGAAAGGCAGCGCTCCCTTCTGGGATATTTCATGGTGAGGGGCGAGTGGGATTCTAGCCTTCTCTTCCAGTCCTTGCCAGCATAGAGCTATGTGACCCTCTGCAAGAGTCCCTTACCTGAGCAGGGCTTCAGGTAGACCTAGGACCTCTTTGCGGCTTTCCTTCCTGCCAGACCGTACGTAGACTATAGAAAATGATTGGTGAACTGGGCCTGTCGGTGGCCAGTGAGACATGCCAAACCATCTTAGAGCCCTCCTTCACCCCTTTTTTGGAATCCAGGGCTCTTCTCTTGGCTTCTGATTTAACTACTCCATGAAGTGTGCAGTCAGGGGGTGCTTCAGGTACAAACTCGGGCAGAGAAAAAGGTTAGAGAGCCTTCATGACCCTAGGGGATTTGTTTTTATAGCGGAATTTCTGAATCTGGGAGGTAATGTTGAGTGGAGAGAAGGGTGGTGTTATCCTATAAAAATGACAACATAAATGACAATCTTGGAATATGTCCTAGAATCAGAGGAAACATAAGGTCTGAAGAAGCGAAATCACCAGCTCAGGGTCATATGACCAGGAAAAACAAGTCTTCACCAAGTCCAGTGCCACCCCACTTCCCACATGATGGGGGATCTGGTCCAGCAAAAGGCCACTGGAGACAGGCCTCTCAAGGCGGCCACCGGCCACAGCAGGGCACCCTCTGGTGGTGGAAACAAGCAAGCACAGACCCAGCTTTCTCTCTCTCTCACACACACACACACTCACACACACACACACGCGCGTGCGCGCACAGACACAAATGGCTTTTTTCTGTTTTCTTTTCTTTTTTGTTTTTTTTTACAATTTTATTTATAACAATATCTGTGTTATTTAGTTGTAAAGGAATTCAGCAAAAATTATTAAAACGTTCATGTCCCCAAAACGGGGCTGCCCATTTGCCCTTCCTTGCTGTACCCCACCCCCTCCTCAATCCCCAGGTAGGGGAAGCCTGGAACTGTTCACCAGAGAAAAGTATCCAGCCCCAAAGCTGCAGTGGGGGCACTGATAAGGAGAGGGCCTGTCTGGCAGGGATCGATCATGGCCATCTCAGAGGTGCCCCTGGAGCAGGGACTGGGGCGTGGGGTAGCTTCCTCCAAGAACTAAAAACTCCCTCCTCAGCCAGAGTCCCATCTTGAGGGCAGGACACTCAAGCCCTCCGCCCAGCCCTCAAGCCAGCCCTCAGGGAGTGGAGGGCAGGCAAGGGCTGAAAGGGGAGAGCTGTGACAAAGTGTCTCGTACAGGGAGGGGAGGCAGCACCACCAGCTCTCCCAGTGGAGGTGCATTTTGGTGGGAAAGTAGAAGGAAGGTCCTCTCCCATCTTGAAGCCTAAGGAGCCCCCAGAGCCTCCCCTGGCCCCTCCCTGAAGGCAGCACTGGGGGTTCTGCTGAGGAGCAGGCAGGAAGGAGAATGGAAGGAGATAATACTGTGCTCGCTTGCTCACTCACATATAAAAAGTAATTCCTTCATTTTTACATTTATACATCTGGCAGGGCCGAGGAAGGGCTGGCTGGGGTGGGGGGCTCACTGAAAGACTTCTCTGGCAGGGGGCACGAAGCTCTCTAGGGATGTCCAATAGGGCAGGGCCCTATGCCAAAGGGTCCCCTATCTCATCCTCAGGGCCTCGGCCCAGAAGCTCCCGTTTCTCGTCCGTGCTGGCCAGAGAGTGGCGGCTGCCGTGGCCACCCATGTAGAGTGTGGCGTACACGGGGTTGGTGAAGTTGGTGGGCTGCAGGGCAACAGAGAGGGGTCAGGAGGGGCTAAGGAGTACCTCACCTCCCACCTCTGCCGCATCACTCCGCAACCCCCTACCCATGCTCTTGACCCACCTTGTCAGGGTCCAGAGCAAAGTCAGCATCCAGGAGGCCCCCGACGTCATCAGGCTCCCCGCCCTCATACATCTTATAGGTGGGATTCCCAATCTCCACATTCATGGCCCCGTTGGTCATCCGTTGGTGCTGGAAGCCCTTAGCCCTGGGGAGAGGCAGGTGTATAAGGGGATGAGGGGTTAGAGTAGTAAAGCTAGGGTAGTAAAATAATGAGTAGAACAATCTAGACCCCCGTGCTCACCCTCG